TTTGTAAAAAGTTCTAAATTGACAGAATCATATGCTTTGCTTATGTTCTGAGACAGAAGCCATAATTGTTTGTTGTTATAATTAGTATCTTTGATAATATTGTTAAGTATGTACTGTATATAAAAATAGATATGCTATTGCCAGATAAAGTAATATAGTTGTAAGGAGATAGAATAGGATGTTGTGTAAGTATTAAATTAAGATGGTTAGTAAGAAGTTTTGTATATAGTTTCTTAATATGTTTAACAAGACTAATGGGTCTTGTATTAGAGAAATTTTCATCAAAAATAAGTTTTTTAGATATTAGAAAGATACGATCTTCTTTTCATTACTTAGATATGCGAGAAGTTTGAATGCATCGATTAAAAAGGGCAACTATTGCTTAAAGAAAAATAGAACCAGCCTGTTTAAGCATTTTATAACTAATTTCAGATAGTTCACATGCTTTGTTATTGGGAAGTTGGTTAAGAGTTCTGGTAATTTCAAGTGAAAATTCAGCCAAGACTAAATTTTAATAGTCTGAACTAGTAGTAGCTTTTGATTTATATTCCTTTGATCAGTTAATATTGAATTTATGATTATTAATAGGTCTGTAGGCAGTCCAGTTGTCAAAATAGTATTGAATATGTTCTTTAATTAGTTTGGGTTCTGTGATGATATTATCTTTTATATAAATTTTGTTATCAGTTATAATTTTAATATATTAGTTTAATTGCAAATATAAGACTTATATATATATCTAAAAGATTAAATAAGTATTATAAAAAAATTATATTAATATTACTATATTATTCAAATATAAGATATACTAATATAAAGGCAAAATAAATAAATTAATTGAATCAAAGTTATCATAGTGATCAATTTTATTTACAATTATATATATATTTAAAACTTTACAAGTATATAAATAAGTTAGTTAAAATAGTCTCTTCAAAGTGCAGTTATATAAGCCTATATAATATAAATTTATAATTAGCATGTTATCAATATTGATATCAATAACTTGTCTGTTATAAATTCAAATAAAATAAAAAAAGCTATATAAAAGGTTTTATTCGAGCTTTAGAACTTTATAGCCAAAAATAAGATCTAATTTTTATTTTTTTAAAAAAGCTAGCATAATAATAACTTCTCAAAACCCAATAAAATTAACTTATTATTTAGCTAATTTTTTTAAATAAACAATAATTAGATTTTATTTTTGACTATAAAGTTCTATAGCTTTAACAAAACCTTTTATATAGTTTTTTTTTATTTTATTATAGTTGGTTTTTATTTTGTTAAAAAGTACTCTAAACTGTATAAATAATATAAAATTAAATTGAATTAATTAGCTAATTAGATGAACTTTTGTCTATAAACTTGTCTGATTGTAATTTTATATTATACAATTTTGTGTAATAGCACTTTAAAGAAGCCATTCTGGCTGACTCTACATAGATATAATTTAAATTTATATAACTTGTAACAAAAAATATATTATAGATAGCAACAAAAACATTTATCCAAATAATATAATAGATACTTATTTAGCAATTATAATCTATTATTTTATGTTTATTTTATAAATATTAATAAATTATATTATTTGTTTAGTATTAATATTTTGTTTTTTTTTGTATTATTTTTTAAAATTAGTTAGTTGATTACATTAAATTTATTTTTTAGTTTATATTAGTAGTTATGTTAATTAAATTTAAAGAATTGTTAATGGCATCTTATATATAACTAATCAGTTTAAAAATTTACAAATAATATTTATAGACAATGCAAATTTACCTAATTAGTTAATAGTTAGAATAAGCATTGTTTATAGTTTTTAAAAGAGTTAAAACTAATTAGTTATATAAAAAGTAGCATTAATAATAAAAATGACATTAACAAGTTTTTAAATTATTATTATTATTTTTAATATTAAGACAAGTACTTGTAACCTAGAAGTTTATTGGTAATCTGTCAATATATAACTATTGTGTATAACAGCTATAGAGCTAATTATAAAAAGAGTGTATAACTAACTACTTATACAACTTTAGTTATTATCTATTTTAAGTAGTTCATACAAAGATTTTATACTAGTTGTTATATCTAGAACCTGCCTATAGGTTTTTTATTTAAATACTTTAGTTTCTATATTTATTTTTATTCTACTAACTGCAAATTAACTGCAAATATGCCATGATTACTAAGTTATATTTAACTTTATACTAAGCTACTAAAGCTTTTTGTATCCTATACTTATAGCTAACTTAGTACCACTTTGGCCTAGACTATTACTTGCAGTTAAGGCTGCAAGACTGTAAGTTACAAACATATCTTACATGTAAGTTACATATAAATTATATCCAAAATTTATGATATATAATAAGTTATTAAATAATATAATAAATTAACCAATTAGATTAATATATATTAATATAATATATAATATATATAATGTAATAAAAAATATACTTCTTAAGAACTAGAACTGTTAATTAATCTAGTCTAAACTAATAGTTCTTTAATTTATTCAAAGATCAAATCTATTAGTTCTAATAATAAACTAAAAATAAATATTAAGATAAAATTATAAAAAACATTAATATAATCAAATTTGTAAGAAATTGTTTTTGTTAAAATACAGAATTTTATAAATAAAATTTTAAATTATAGTTAATTTTTTAAAAAAAATCTTGAAACTTTATTTTATATTAACATTATATTTAATTATTATTATTGATAATTTAAAATTGCAAGAGAACTTTATACAATAATAATTGCAAGTTATATTATTATATATAAATAATTTTATAAATAAATAAATTGATATATGAAGTATCTAAAAACATATTTTAATTCAAATCATACTGTATTTAAAAAAATATTTTAGAATATCTTAAATATTTAATTTATCTAATATAACTTTATTGATCTTATTGAACTATATAGATTGTAAATTATTAAGCTTTATAAAATAACTTTATTTAAATTATATTATTAAAAACTTTTATTTATATATCTTTAAAAGTTATTATTATTTAACTTATATACTTACATGTAAGTTATATACTTATAACTTACCTTACATTAAAAAATTAAAAATTGTTATAAATTTATAATCTTACTTGCAGTTAAGACTAATTATTAAACTGTTATACTTTTGTAAAATTTACTAGAATTCTAATATCTTCCTTTTCTAACTTCTATTCTTTATTTTTGAACCTACAAGACTTCCTAAATTACTAATTTAGATGACCTAGTATAGTATCCTAAGATCTTTTTTCTTTAGTAATTTCTGACAGCCTAATTAATATATACTTCTTTATACATATTGTCATCTGATCCATCCTAGTTATTTTTTTTTAGAAGTTTTTGATAATCTGGTAATACTGTTAAAAGTTTATGTTACCTCTTTATTCAAAATTTCTAAGTAAATTTTTGTGTTTTAGTTTCTTAGTATTATGTGCTTGATAGTCTTATCATAGGTTTGCATCAGAGTTTTATGTAACACTGATTATTAATATTCTTCTATATATATATAATATTACACTTTATATAAATGCCTTAAACTCTTATTCAAAATAATGTTCCTAAGATTATAAATCATTTCTTCTATTTAACTGATTGACAAGACACAGTTACCATATTACAAGTATAATTTCCAAACTAAAAAATATTTCTTTATATGCTTGTAACATTACATTTTGTATAAGCTTTCAAGTTGCAAAATTTGATATACATGGGTTACAACCATATAAGACCAACTAATCAACAGAAAACAGTTACTATAACACAGATATAATTTTCAAATTTCATTATAGGTGGGATTTGAACATTAAACCTGCCACTTGGAGAATGATAACCCAATCACTATACTAGGATCATCATTCTTTACCAAGTTTTTTTTAACTTTCTACTCTATTTGTTTTTTAACAATTTTTCTTCTATTCTTGTAAACCAAACTACTTTCCTACCTTTACATAACAGACCTTGTAATAATTTAAATTGATGTTAGGAAATCATTTGATTTCCTTCTTTGTTGATCAAGAAAACAGAATTAGATATTGCAGTTTTAATTAAGATCAATTAGAGTGAGCAAACAATATGAATAAACTTTTATATTAACTGTTAATGTTTGTTTTTAATTTACTAACCGAAGCTCGCCCCAGCCCCTGAAAAATCTTGTGTATGTCGTGGATCAAATTTTTCAGGGCGTTACAAACGGAAAATACCAAACTACGGTTTTGATATTTTTACTATAAATGTATCAAAACATAATTTTGGTCATCAAAGGGCGTAGAAATATGAGTCTGTCAGGCAAAATTTTTCGGTTTATTATTTGATTGGTCAATTTAACAATGAAATTGCCAACTATTTTTATTTAAACAAAAAAATGAAATGAAAATTTTTTACAATTTAAAATTAATTTTATTAACTAATCACAAGAAAGAAAATGTTCAAATTTATTTAAAATTACAATACTTTTACAACTATGTCGAGTTCTATTTTTTTTTTAATATTCTAAAAAGTGAGTAGGAGAAGTGGTATATAGGGTACGGAAGAGATTTAAGAAAAGAATACATCATAAATGCATAATGTTCTTATAAAATATTTGTTTCCAACCGTGAATCATACATGCTATTTATATATTTTATATTCTGCTTACAAGTGTCATCTTAATTCGATGATTGGCACAATTCTCAACATATGTGTATGCATTTTTCATCGGTAGAAATTTGAGATTTTTTAAGGATTACGGTTTTTTTTTTTTTTAGACATCGACATATTATTACGGAACAACTTAATTTTGTTAAATACAGTATTTTAAGAGTTTTTTTTTTGTTATGGTATATATGAATATTTTTGAGAGTTTTTTTTTTTGTTATGGAATATGTAAGTTTTTTAAGTGTTTTTTTTTTTTTTGGTTGGTTAATGAGCAATGATATTACTAATACTCATGACGTTCGGTCTATGATTATTAGCACTTCGATTACCAAACAACAAAGTCCCCAATTGTGTAGAAAACGAGACCAATTCATTAGTCTCCATTTTTGAAAAATCAATAGCTTTATGGCAAAAAATCGGTGGTGTCAAATTAGGAGGATTATTAGGCTTCGGATTAGGGCTAACAGCTATATTAAGACCCTGGATTAATTTTTCTAGTCGATTGATTCTAGCACTTAAGCAATTAACATTATCATCACCGTTTGTGCATTTAGAGCAATGATGATTATTTTCAATTGTAATATTTGTTTTATTTCGATCGGATTGAGAATAAGGAAATGTAGATGAACGATTGAAGACAGTAAGTGGCCTTCTATCAACAGTTTCACCACCAGGTACAGTCACTCTTCGAGTAGAAATTCTCTTTGCTTTGGTCATTTTTTTTTTTCAAAGTAATTAATTTTTTGCTAGTAAATTTAGATTTGAAATATAAATATATATTTTTTTTTTTACTCTTTTGAATAGTTTATTGGTGAAGCCAAGAAATCAGGCGTGGAGCCTCACTTATATACTTTTTTTCATGCAGAATATCACGTGTAGAACATCCCTTCCCATTTTGCAATGCATCATCATTTAGATTGTATTGTATCCTCGTGTAACGTTAATAACTATAACGTCAACAGTATATTTATTTATAGATTAAATTACTAGGTGCTTCGACCCGTTGTATAGTGTGATACAAAACATTACATGATGCGAGATTGATAAATTTTATAATATAGATATTCTAGATAGAAAGACTTTTATCACCTGCTTGTAACACCATCTACTATAGCGAACGATAAAACAGTTATGCTTATGTATATATGTGCGCAGTATTTGATTTTCTTAATATAAATGAATGTACAAGTATTTTACAAAGAATAGAACGAATAAGTTAGGTCTAATCACTATTCTAAATATATAATGCTTTATAGCAAAAACTATTTGAAACATGGACGCTTATGTCGGAGAAGCGGCAGAATGTTCTATGATCACCAATTGGCATTTTGATATTTTTTCTATTTCATTTCTAAATTAGTAAAGACCCGTTATACGGGTATGAAATGTCGTCTTTTTATGCACATTTCTGCAATCTGCAGGGATACCAGGAGTGGTATCATTCTTGAAAGGTCGCAAGGTTAAGTCATTATTATTAAACTTATGTGAATTTTCATTATCCATATATCAACTATCCTTTAACAACTATTAGAGTATTATGTACTGAGTTTGTTGAAGAATAAGGTCGTTGTTTGAGTTTTAAAGTTCAATTGGGCAAGTTTAATTGTGAAACAATCTGTCAATCTATTTTTACTTATATTTTGACGAAGAAATCTTTATTCACTGAATTCTAATTTTATCACTTGTTGATCATCGTACACACTTATAATAAATAAAAATGCAAACGTCATTTTAAGAAAATTATAATTAGAAATTTATTCATGTAACAAAACAACGTCAACCAATGATGCGTTATTCCAATCTCCGAAATGGAAATTCCACGTGATTTGACACAAGCAAACCTTTGTTAAAAATAGGTTTGGATCAACCTAATTGGCTACTATCGCTATTACATCACTTAAGTCATGGAGTAATGAACTCCGGTCAAATGATATCCTGAATGCATTAAATGCATTAACATTAACGAAATGATTAAAGTAGAATAATTATAATTCCACTTCAACTTTAATCCAAACCAACTCAAACTTTAATTTTAATGAACTTGTTTTTTAAATCGTCTATAAAAGTCGTCTAAAATCACAATTTTAAAAATAATTATACTAATTCATTATGCATTAAAAATTATCAGATATTGTGTAAGAGGGATTTTTTTTATTGATGGAGGAAGTAGGGATGGTAAAAGAACAGGTTTACCATTTTTCACCGATTTAAAACAGGTGATGATTAAAGTCCGAATAATTAAATCTGATTTAAATATATTTAGGTTCATAATCATCACTTGTTTTTAATTACGTAATAAAAAACTTTTGCCATCATTAGAAGGTCAAGAATTAAAGGGTTCGTGCTAAGGTTCGGGTTTGAGATATAGGTTATTTAGAAAATTCTGGGGAACTTAAAAATTCTCTTTTCCGAAACCCCTTCGATATCATTCTAATAATATTCTAACTTTCTGAAATTACGTCGCTGTCCTCGAAGCATAGACCCGGAGACAGAGATGCAGCTTTCGAAAAGTTAGATTATTAGAATGAGGTGGTTTCGGGAAAAGAGCAAATGCTTAGGTGTCGCAGAATTTATGAAAACTGTTGTAAGATTAAAATGCCTTCACAAGCTCACAAGTAATTGATAAATTATGTTTTTTAATATTTGATGATGACGGACGCATCATCATCCAAAGAACTCGAGTCATTCTTGAATACTACGAAACTAATAACTTGTTCATTTTGTCATCTTGCTTTAAATTTGTTATGTCATTTCTGGGCTCCTTCAGGGGCCCAAAAGCTGACATGTCAAATTTGAATCCAGGTAATGAAGTATTCTTACGATTTGATTACCATTATTGGCTGCTTCGCATCCGATAACTCTATATTATTTAAGCTCATTATTCATTATATCGAGTATATTCAGTTACTAGCTAATTTGTTGGGTTATGTTAAAAAAATTCCACGGCCTAAAATTTCGTTCATACACTATATTATATTCCACGGTTCCTAATGTTCATTTCTGATGTTATTTTTATGATGACGTTATGCCGTCCACGGGCATTACGTCATCAAAAATTTCAATCAGAAATGTTACAGGCATAGGAACCGTGAAATATATCAGATATTCAACGATGTGTCGTGACGTCATGTATTGCCACGGCTTCGCCGTGATATTCACAACAGCCCGTGGAATATCTATTACCTATTCGATAGCCACATTGTTGGAAATGCAACTAGGCGTACGTATAAAATATATGATGCACAGAACATAAAAATGGCGCAGTAGACAAATCAGTGGGATGAGATGTAAACATGAGCGTAATATATGTTGAATGAGGCAAAAGACAAAATTACAAGTTTATTACCCAAGGATATAATGTGAGGGATAAGTTTTATGTAGCCAAAATATAATCTTGCGTTTTGCCTTCAACGAAGTTCTACAAAGTTCGACTTGTCATAATCCTTTAATTTCTAAATGAGTAAGTGAGACCAGAAATTCTAAATATAACACAAGTAAAATTATACGTATTCAATAGGAAATCAATATGTTACCCAATTGTTACAAAATTTATCCCTATTGGTATCCTGTTGCTTACGGATTTTGGCTCCAAAGGAGGTCAATCAGAATCAATACGTAGAGTTACCCAAATTTAATAAATTGATTTAAAATTAAATCCTATTGACCTCTCGCAATAATCGGGTAACACTATTTGATTCCTATTAGTGCCAAAGTCTGTAACCAATAGGATATCAATAGGGTTAAATTTGGCAATAATCGAGTACGTAACATAAAATTCTTTACACAATGGAAAGCTGGCCTTCATTTTAACAATGATTTTTTGCAGAGAATAATTATTTTGTAATGTTTAAAATCTTATTTATTAATTGTTCCAAGTGGCAGGCACTTATAAGAAATAAATTGTTTACATTTGAATGAGACTTATAACCGCCCTTAGTTTTCGACACTAACCTCTTCCAAATCTGAATGCCTTATCAATATTACTACGTATTACGACCCTGAACCAAAGTAATAGCCAAAGTATTACCTCACCAAACCATAGGAAGAAGAAAAGGATGCAATCATAGTCAATGTAGTAAATAATAACGATAAAGTTAGCGACATGCCTTGTCATGTGATATCCAACGTTAAAATAAGTTCGGGTAAAGGTTTTTGCATGCATGGTGTCACAGATAAAGTATTAGATAACACCTATCAGGCGAATGTCGTCATATGAAGTACAAGGTTGGTATCTCAATAAATTTCCAATTTTATTATTTGTCAAATGGTAACCAAGAACAGGGATTCTAATGTAGAATTCTTTTATGTCGAGAACGCCAAGGCTATGGGCACTGTTATACCAGTACGCGTGCACTTATTTGTGCGAGTGATACAAATCTAAAAAGGGTGATTAGCCAATCGGAGAACGTAAAAAGTGAATATCCCGGATCCCTGATCAGCCCGTCACGTGCGCAAAGCGAAGAAAAAACAGTAGAAGAACCCGAAAATGCGAAAATACAAGAAAATGAGTGTTTAAGCCCGTCTTTGAGCACTAATTAAAAATGACAGGAATAAAATTTTACAGGTAATAAATGGTTATTTCTTTTTTATCGTCTCTAACTTTAACATTCTAACTAATTAAGAAAGTCAAAGGTAGCTACCTTTACGTCACCTTTACGTCATATAATATACGTCAAATAATATACGTCAATACGTCGCCATATACGTCACAAACGTCACTGCTAGTTATTTGATATTCTAATGTTTGCAGCTTTAGTTCTAAGTTAGAAGTTATGGTAGTTATTTTTATACGTCACCCTTTACGTCATATAAAATTTATATAAAATTTAATACGTTATAGTAAATGTTAATTGATATTCTAATGTCTGTTCTAACACTAAATTTTTAACATGAATTTTCTTTTTTGTGGGATGGTTTTCTTGATGCAGTTAGTGTTATGATTTATAAAAATATCAAGAATGTAGTTTATACAGTATGTAACTCAATTAGTAAATGCACCTTGCTTTAACTTTTTTTGAAGGGTTTGTGTTACAAATAAGTAAATCTCATCCGAACCATCTTTTTAAAAGTAAGGTTAACTGAACATCTTATATAAAAATGTATGTTTATTAATATTGTTAAAAAAGATAATAATTTTAATATATTAGTTGAAGTATTATTTTTTAAGCAGTAAGTTTTAAGTTTAATTTTTATTAATGACAAAATTTTGAAAATATAATTTTATTTTAATAACTTATTTATAATCTAGAATTTGTAATCTTATAATTCTGGTTATATTAAAATTAACTTTGAAAGTTTACAATATTATATAAATAAATTTGAAAAATATATATATACTTAGATAGAAAGTATACTTAAAATTTTAAGTAAAGAGATAGTACAATTTTTAGTAATATTATTTATAAAAATTTTAATTTAAAAAAGAAAATTTAAGACAGATAATTTATACAAACAAAAATTTTTAGATAAGAAGTTTTTTTTTACTTAAGCAGTTTTGCTAATTCATTTTTATTATAATTTTTTGCATACATATATACAAAATTTTGCATAATTTTTTAGTCCAACATTCTGTGAATACTTCTATAAACCTTATGAGTAATCTGCTTGCACTAACTGTTTAACTTCATAAAAAATTAAAATATATCAGGAGTTGCATTTAATTATTGTTTTACAATAAAATGTTGTTAATCTGATAACATTTTTTTTGTAAAGAAGTA